CAGCTTCCCAGGCCAAAGGAGCCCCCATAGCCCTGGGAGCTCCCATATCCAAGGGAGCCCCCATAGCCCGGGAAGCCCCCAGAACCCCCATAGCCCCCAGACCCAAAGGAGCCCCTATAACCACGGGAGCCCCCTAACCCAAAGGAGCCCCCATAGCCCTGGGAACCTCCATAAGGTCCCCACCCAGAGGAGCCCCCATAGCCAGAGGAGCCCCCATAACCTCCAGCCCCAAAGGAGCCCCCATAGCCAGAGGAGCCCCCCAAGGCCAGCGGGCCCCCGTAACCCCCAGCACCTCCCAGCCCAAAGGAGCCCCCAGAGCCAGAGGAGCTGCGGGAACTGAAGGAACGCCCCAGCAAGGCTGGGCCCGACGATCCCACGAGGCTCTCCTGGGGGAAGGTGCTGAGCAGGGGGCCCGGGAAGGTCACCACCACCGGCGGGGGCTGGATCAGGGCTCTGGAGTCGGGGCACTGCTGCACACACGGCTCGTTGGAGCTCTCGGCGATGGGCTGCGGTCTGGAGTCGGGGCACTGCTGCACACACGGCTCGTTGGAGCTCTCGGCGATGGGCTGCGGGCAGCTCACCCCACACGACTCGTTGGAGTAGGACATCCTTCTCTGCTGGGCGGCTGCAACGCACAGCAGGAAGGACTTTTAAGCTAAACTGGCTGAGAAGAACCAAAACTGAGCTCTCTGTCTGAAATATCAAAGGGTAACAGATAAATTCGAAGGTGATATCAAAGAAATCTCATTATTGTACCAACTCCACCTTCAACCTTCCTTTCACCATGATCATCCTCACAAGAGGAATTCTGTGTTGGATAAATTAAAGGAATCTGTAGCAACCTGTGGCAAAGATTCACTCAAAAAGTATAAGACCAGCGAGAAAGAACCCAAGAGGAAGAGGAAAAAAGGCTCACAGACTTTGTGTAGAAATTCAGATTTTAAGAATACGAGCGACACCACTTACCTTGCTCTCTGCAGGGGTGAGAACGAGAGGAGTGGATGAAGGGCTGTGGGTGAGCTGAGCTTTTATATCCTCCTCAAAGCCACCCTTCGTGCCTCCCATCCTCGTTTATTACAAAACCAAGGCGATACTGGGCGCTTCGATTCTGTCACCTCAGCACTGTCCCTCCCAAACTCGAGTGGCTGTGACACAACTGCTGATGGCAATCAGCTCCCTCTGAGGGTGATTTGAGGGGATTTGGGGAACTTTGGGGCTCCATTAAAGCCAGTCCTGCTTTAGTCCAATTTTAATGTCATCGCGTTTTGTTGGGACATCTTAATGGCCAAGGTGACTTCCATGGTCACCACGGAGCCCTTTGTGGTGTCACCTTCACCAGGTGAAGGTCACCCAACCAGACCTAAAATTGTGGCTCTGAGAGGACACAGATTCTCCTTGTAGCTGAGTTGGGTTCTATAAAAGTTGTCCCCAAAGAGGCAGAAATTGGTACAGCCAGAAGAGGCCTCGGCCTAAATCTAATTCCAAACATTTCACGATTTCATTTGAAATCTCAGCTTTAAGAAGTTCAGTTATAAATACATTATAAATCTTTATTTTCTTTCCCCCCCACCCCCGAAGTACTGACCACAGAAAAAAGAAAGAATTTAATAAAGCAGTAATAAAATAATAACATATTTTATTAGGACGAGTCTGGTACATCCTGCAGATATTTATTTTCTTTCCTCTTGCAATTGTTTTCTAATTTTACGGTATTGCAAAAGAGAGGCAATAAATTACGTCTAAATTGTAAAATAGCTCTGCTTCTGAAGTGTCATCAGGATTTGCTGATAATAGTGAGAGGCACCTGGAGGATAATGACTTCAATCTTCCTCATAAATACTCATTAATAGTCAGGGCTTGCAATTTCTGTTATTATCCTATTAAATGAAGGCCGGGAGTTACGAGGATTTATTCGGAGTTAGGAGCTCCCTTGTTATGAAACAGCATCATTTAAAAATATCAATCAATGTCACTCCTCTGGATTCCCTAACCAGCCTCTGATTAATAATTTCAGTGCTGGCAATTATTTGATTTTCATTCATGAGCTCAAATTCTTTGTATTATTAACTATTAATGAGTTTGGGATGATTATGACAAGTACGTCGTCTGGCACACCAAGTGCAGCTTCTTCTGAATTTATGAGGCAGCATTTTGCTGAAACATCCTGAATTTTAGGGGAGAAATAAAAGCCTGATTGCAAATTATCTGAATTTTCAGGCTTAACCATCAGTGTTCTGTATCTCATGGTCCTGGAAGGATCTGGAACATCCCCAAAGTGTCACTGCCTCCGTGGCATTCCAAAGCCAGCAGGGAACGGAGCAATGGAACCCATCTTGGAATTGCTGAGTAATTAATGGTGTTTGAGCTGCAAACACGGATCTCAAAACCCCTCAGGTTTCCAAAGCATTTGGAGATAATTGACATTCTCTTCATTTCTGATACCCGTCTCCTTCTTTTTGTGCAGCTTCCATGGGTTTTCTCAGGATTCACTTAACACCCACCAATTATCAAAAGGCTAATAATTAATCTGAACTCATCGAACCTAAAGACAGGGCTCACGATGGGGATTATCACTTCATCACCCACCACCTCGATGCCCTCGAGTCTGTCATGACACGGCCTCACGCCCGTTTTCTGCGCGTGGGGAGTGGCAGTGCAAAGCCAGCAGAATTAAATCCCTCCACGCGAGGGTGGTGGGACCGGAGGCACGGAGGGCGTTTTGTCCTTGTAAGCACTTTGGGAAATGTATAAAAGCTGCCACCACTCCACATCTCCTCCACACACATCTCCATCCACATCTCCTCAGTTATTCGCCTCGGTGAACAGGGTAAGTCCGATTTCAACTCTATCCTTCTCTTTTCCCACCCAATTCATTGATGTTATGGATTGGCAGATTAAGGAACTGTGTGTCTCAGAAGGCTGTTCTAGAATAAAATGTGAATTTTCACCATGCCACTTGGAATAACCATTTCCCAGGCATTTTAGGTCCAATGTGTGACCATAAAATTTAAAAATATCTGAGCTATCATTCCCACCTTGTGGAAATATTTGTTCCATAAGGGTAAATTTTCTGGTTTGGAAGCTGAGAGCTACTCGGAATAGGATATGAAACTATAAAAATTGCTGCTTTGTATCTGACCCTTCTTAACTTCCAATAGATACATGGCTAGATTTCGGCTACTCTTAATAAATTTATAAAGAGATAAAACCAGATTTGTCACAGTGTAAGGAGTGTGGGATTCACCAGAGATGACACCAGATGTTTTCATCTCTGTGGAACATCTCGGGGATCTTGACAGCGGACAGTCTGGAATGTGATTTTTGCGGCCAGATGAGGGTCAGATTTGGAAAGCAGTGAACTCCGGGCTCTCAAATATTCCATGAGAAAGAACAGGCGGAAATTTCTGGAGCTGAAACCATACTCCTGCTATGCGTTGCAGCCGCCCAGCAGAGAAGGATGTCCTACTCCAACGAGTCGTGTGGGGTGAGCTGCCCGCAGCCCATCGCCGAGAGCTCCAACGAGCCGTGTGTGCAGCAGTGCCCCGACTCCAGAGCCCTGATCCAGCCCCCGCCGGTGGTGGTGACCTTCCCGGGCCCCCTGCTCAGCACCTGCCCCCAGGAGAGCTTCGTGGGATCGTCGGGCCCAGCCTTGCTGGGGCGTTCCTTCAGTTCCCGCAGCTCCTCTGGCTCTGGGGGCTCCTTTGGGCTGGGAGGTGCTGGGGGTTACGGGGGCCCGCTGGCCTTGGGGGGCTCCTCTGGCTATGGGGGCTCCTTTGGGGCTGGAGGTTATGGGGGCTCCTCTGGCTATGGGGGCTCCTTTGGGTGGGGACCTTATGGAGGTTCCCAGGGCTATGGGGGCTCCTTTGGGTCTAGAGGTTATGGACACTTGGGGGGCTCCTCTGGCTATGGGGGGTCCTTTGGGTCGGGAGGTTATGGGGGCTCCTCTGGGTGGGGACCTTATG